TCTGTCAATTCTTCTATTTTTTGATTATTTCTTCATTTACTCTCATTCTTTGTATTTTCTCTCCTTCTTATTTATTCTTCTTTTTAATAATTCATAATTAATATTCATAATTCTTATTAGTATCATTAATTGATTGTTTAATGTGTTGAAGTGTTTCTACCACTTCTTTATACAATTGGTTATTCTTGTTTATTAATCACTGTTTCCATTTTAATTTAATTTGATATTTATAGTTCAAAATAACAATGTTTAAATAATTAATACACGTTATTATCACATCAAATTAATTATTATTTTTTTAATCATTATTTTTTTAAACAAATAACTTTAATTTTGATTGATTTTTAGAAGAACATTAATTAATAACAACAAGTCAGAAGATAAGATAAGAAAATGAAAGAAGAACATATATTCTCATCAAAAATAATTATAAAAACTCAAAACAAAGATTAAAAAGAATATGAATGAATTATTATAAAAACAAATACTCAATATAAAGGTAGTTAATTAAGTGGTATTAGATTTGTTTTCTATCATTCTTTGCTCACTAAAGAATAATCACGTTTTTGTTTGAAGATAATTTATTCCTTTATATTTACTTATTCTTTAATTTTTCATTGTTAAGAAATGTGAATTTCTATTTTCAGTCATTTAATTAGATTGTATTAACTCCTCTTCAAATTTCATCAACTTTGATATTCTTCATTTAATTCCATTTCTCATCTTTATTTTAAATTTTAATGTATATTAAAATGATTCATTCATTATTTTATTATTTTATAATGAATAAACATATATTTACAAAATATTATTACTAATTTCATTTATTCTCAACCATTTCATTTAAATCATTTTATACAAGAATTATTTTATAAAATAGATTTGTATGATGATAAATAGTACTATCATTATCTTTATAAATATTCATTCATCTCGTATATTAATTGACTCAATTATTATTTAATAATAATTGATAATAAATAGGAAAGACTAGTAATATATTTTCTAACAAAAGAAAATATTATATACAGATAATAACTGGGAAGTTCAACGATTAAATTTATTTTAATGTCATATAATTTTTCTGAGGAATAACATTCAAAGTAAAATACATTTATTTTATAAAATAAGAGAAGAAAAAAAAAGAAAAAATGAGTAAAAAAGAAAAACAAAAAATATCACCAATCCAATACTTAAAAGAAATGTTTTAGTCATTTTGTTGTTGTTTTCTGTTTTCCAATTCTAATACCAACTTTTCAGCTTTTGATTTCATAATTGTAACAGCCTCACTGAAAATTTCTTTTGCTGGATAAATACCAGTTGATTCAACAGAAACTAAAAATAAATGAATGGATTTACTTTATAATATTCATAAAAAACAACAAACATAAATAATGATTTTCTTCTCTTCCTAATTTGACATATTCTGAACGTTCTTCACGAATACATTCACGACACATTTTACAATTTCTAGGATTTTTAACAATTAACTCACCATCTTCAATATCAAATACATTTAATGGACAACAATTTTTAATTTCTTTTGACATTTTCTTACTTTGTTTCATTATTGTAATTTTTGGCATTAGTCGATAAGTGGCAGGACAAACTGGTGAAAATTTAGCATGGTCTTGTCCAATTCCTTTACAACAGAATAATTTACATTTAATATGTTGATGTGGTTGTAATTCAGCAATTAAAATATCATCAAAAACAGGTTTAATTGGACAATCTGCAAATGTAGTTTCTTGTTCTCCTTGAGGTTCCCAAATAAGATCAGATGAATAAACTTTATTATTAACAGGATTTTTTGCTGAGTCTAAAGTACAAGTAACATCAAGCGTAAATACAATTGTATCTTCTTCTGTTGGATCAGTAAAATGTCTGTCTTTAGGAAATTTAAATTTTCTTGGATCTGCTAATATTGGAATAAGTCCAAGTCGATGACAAAGCATTTCATCTGGAATAGCAGATGAATTATCTTCTAATACTACCATTTCTATTGCCATGGTTGGTACTTCTGCAATCATAATTCTTCTCAATCCATTAGCAACAGAGACATCAATACCCATAACATCAAATTCAACTTTCTCAGGACTTTCGGAAATTTTGACAATTCGTGGTTGACACTCCATAGGGTTGTTTTTTTGTTACTTTTCTATTTTTTTATTCAAATTTCTTTTTTTTTTTTTTTTAAATAAAAGGGTTTTCTTATTATTTTTTATTATTTTTATTATTTTTTTCAATAAATTGTTTATTATTTCTTTGTCGTTGTTTGTTATTATAAATCAAGTCTTCATTAAAGAATCATTTAGCGTAAAAAATTACCCATATTAACTCATTTGATCATCTTCTTAATAAATATAACATTGAAAGTGTGTATAAGTTGTTGTAAATGGTATTTTAATATTCTTTTTTTATTATTTGATAAGGTATTATATATTTCATTATCACAATTAATTGTATTATTTGAATCAAATAAAAAATTAAAATGAAAAAGTACTAAATTAAGTTTCAGTACACGCTGATTTGTTTTATTTCACTTGGTTCAGTTGAGATTCTTTCATTCACTTTCATTCAACTTGTTCATGATGTATTTCTATATCTCTCTATTCTCCTTTATTATCTTCACATTATTTCATTAAGTTTTTCATATTATTAATCATTATATCAATTACAATTATTTTCATTGAAATTGTAATGTTTTGTTTTTTCATCATTCTTATTGTTTCTTTATTGACTATTCTATTTATTGTAATTATTTTTGTAATAACTTTTCTTTTCATATATTATTTTGTATTATTTTATCTTGGTGAATTTTATTCATTTCTACTTTATTAATAAATATTAGAATTATCTTTTTATCATTTACAACTATCATTTTATCATATAACTCATTATGCTTTGTTTTATATTCTATATAAATTTGTTGTCTTTTATGAAATATTCAATGGTTATTTCTTTATTTTCTATTCTTCTTTTGTTTTTATCATTTTCATTTTGATTATTGTTTAATTTCAATTTATTCTTCATTGCTTCACTATATTTATTTTATGTTTCAATGTGGTCATTCTCGAATATTTTGTAATATTAATCATTGTTATAATTGAAATTCATTTCTTATTATATCAATATATTAATTTTGTTTAAACAAACACCAAACTAATGAAATTTACAATGTTTAAAATACAATATGTATAATACTTCTTTAATAACAATGAAACACATTTGAAATAGAAACAATATCTTAATTACATCAGAATCATATTTAAT